ACTTTTACGTCATAACCTCATTATTAAAATATATCAAAAATTATCTGATATTTCTTTAAATATTTTTTTTAAATACTTAAATAACAAATAATTATGTAACCTATATAATGTTTTGTTATAAATTAATCTCACAAATTAATTTATTTGATATTTCAAGAATTTTTTTAATTTAATTAAAGAAAATAATATACTATAATTAAAAACATATAATTAATATTACATTCAATATTCTTCATTTTCATTATTTGAATGGTTAAGAAGAAAAATTTAAACAAAATTAAAATATTTTATTATGAAAAAAAAATATAAAATAAATTGGTCTTAAATAATTGAATTATAATTAGTAAATATTATAATAAATAATATTACTCATATGCACGTATTAGAATAATGTCAATAAATATTTAATTAGAAAATTAAAAAAATTCAATATCAATTCAATCTATATCAATTCAATGTATGTATATATATATATATATATATATATATATACACACATACATATGTATATGTAAAGTTAAAAGTAACAATACATGTTTTTCTGTAATATTCTGCCATCTGGCGTAATATTGAAGAATTATTTATATAATCAGCAGAAGGTAAATTGTATTAAATATTGATTAAAAATTTAAAAATTTCTAAAATTATTAGGATATACGATATAATCTAAAAACAAATATAATTTAAAATAATATTTATTAAAATAAGTTTCTTATTAATAATGGAAAAATTGAAAATAATTATATTGTTATTTTCTATATTACCGATTCAGCAGAGAATAATTTATTATCTTTCACATAAACCGGTTAAATCGTATAAAAAATTAATTATATATTTTTATATATCAATATACTTTCAAATAAAATGAATATGAAAATGAGCATTCTACTGAAATAATAATGATAATAACACGTATTGATATTTTTATATGCACTTATTCAATTGCATTCATCTCAAACATTCATCTCAATCATTTATAATCAGATAATTACGCTCAAGTTATTTCTCTCTCGAAATTTCGATATGTATGAATTCTTTCCAACAAAATATGCAGGAAACTTTCTTTATAAGGAAATGAATGTAAAAATAAAAATCCTATTGGTGAAAAAAAAAGATAGCAAAGAAACTCGACAAAAAATGGAGAAACTTCTCCTTTTCTATATCTCGAGCGTAGGTGTTGATTCTCCTAGTTTCTTTTTTTTCTTTTTTCTTTAACATTGTTTCCGGTTAGCGGATGCTCGCCATGAAACCAACTGGCATAACGGAGAACAATGGAAAGCGGATATAATGAAAGGAAAGAGCAAGAACTACGCTCGAGTGAATTAGCATTGGTGATGAACTTAACAATTAATTACTTTCACATATCACGATCAGTCATGCAAAGTAGTCGTGCAAAAAACATAGATATACAACAACATTCTTTTATATATAATTAATGCATGTTCTGTCAATCATGTAAGACTTGTACCATAAAAAGCAATTATTGCTTATATCTAGATAAAAAACTATATATCATATATTAATTAATATTCAAAATAACTTTCGTAATTATTTTTTAATAATATTTGGAGAACATCAAATTTTCCAAACTTTCATATATATAATTTGAAATTTTCAATTTTCTACAAGAAGAAAATATTTTTTAAAAGATTTAAGATAAAAAAAAATCATAGTATCTTCGCTAAAACATGCAAAATCCGTAATCTTATATGTCCGCCATTCTACAGGCAATCGAGCAACGTAATTGTACATATCCAGCAAACGAGACAGGTTAATAGTATTACATAATTAAATAATAAAAATTTAATATTTTTTTTTATATTGTTTATCGTTATAAAAATAAATTTTTATAAAACACTATTATATATCTATTTGTTGTATTTTAATTTGTTTTCAAGATTGTATTAAATTGTAATTATTATGATAAAGAATAATAATTTAATTTATTTGCATAAGTTACGTAAAAGTTAAACGATATAACAAATACATAGATTAATATCCATATAGCATATCTTTGTAAATCTTTCTTTAATTAATTATATAAGAATAAAGAATATGAAAACATATGTGAAAACAATATATATTAATTATTAAAAGTACTTTCTTAAAACATGAATGGATGTAACATTAGTAAACATAAAATAACGGTAGAGTTTTCGTAAAAAGAAGACTTTTCGTCTTTTTAAAACTTTTATCTTTTATATTCTTATTGCATATTTCGTTTAAATTAGTATACATATATCTATTAAATTAAAAGCAGAATATATTTGTTACATTAAACATATTACAATGTATGTATATAATATATATAATATATAATATAATTTCAATATTACAGATGCAAAATATATAAAAAAAAAAATTTTTTTTCACAACTTACATATTCCTACAAGAAGTTAATTTGAATATTTTGAGAAATAATTATAAAATAATGTTATATTTATCATATATCACCAATATAATTAAAAAAATGGTTAATTATTATAGACAAAGCGTTGAGATAAGACATAATCCAAAATAGGTTAGGAAATACTGACTAACGTCATCTTTATCTGAAGTTAGAACTATCGCAAAAATCTCGTACTATTGAAGTACATGCTACCAACTTGGATACAATAAAATATGAAAAAGACATACATTCAAATACTAATGGAAACGATACCGAGGACATTGAACTTTCTAAGCATGACCTTCAACTCGTATCTCAGAGAATCAGCTGGCTTTTTCGCTACAGTTATAAGATATAAGTATAATATTGCAGTGCGGTAGTCAAAGTACTATATCAGATTCAAAACATTATTCGTATGTTCATTTATAGTATAGTGCTGTAACCAGTTAATAAGAATAATTCACGCAATTACATACTTTCATAAGTTGATATTTCAGCATGCATTCAATAATTAATGGTAAATTTTTTAATTAACTGATGATAGAATTAGAATAAAATATTATAAGAAAATAATATACTTGTGTGATGATAAATGAGTGCAATTATATAATTGGATTAATTAATTGGAAATAATTTATTCATTGATTAAGATCAATTTATAATTTAACTATAATTCAACTATTTGATTTTAATATAATAAAATTGTATAAAATTATCGTAAAATAAATCGTATAAAATTTTTCATATGTCTCATAGTATGATATCTCATAGTATCAATCTAAAATTTTAAAACAAGTTGATAAACGCATAAAAAGAATTTTCAAATAATTTCAATGCAGAAAGTAATGCGAAAAATCAGACATGTATTGAAATGCTACAAATAGTGGAGTGAAAGGACAGAGAAGAATAAGAAAGTCTGTGATGTACATTTTATCTAAGCAATAGCGTAAGAAACATAAAAACATTCGCAAAAATCTTATTTTTCTATCTACTTTGTTTAATTTATTATTCTATTATTATCAAAAATGTATTATCAAAAATATATTTTCTGTTTCATTTTATTTTTTAATTTTAATAACATTATTATTTTCAAAAAATTGTCATTAATTTTGAAAAATTTCATTCACTATAAGATTACTGACTACATTAATACTTAAAATTACTATATGGAATGTGCTGAAAAATAAGTAGGTGGATATGCAGTTAGATTACTTATTTACCATCTTTCAATATATATTCGATTCGAACAGTTAAGACTTTCTAAATTTTGAAAATGGTCCAATGATTAAAATCAATTGAATTATTAGAAAAAAGAATAAAAAGAAAAATTATAATGCTAAAATAAAATTTTTTATAAAAATAAATTGGATTGGAAAAATGAAGAATCATAAAAAGTATTAACACTGTAAATAAATGTATAAATGTTAAATCAATATTTATCTACTGACTGATGAATATACGACTTATATAATGCGAGAACATTGCGGTTTTTAAGATATTCGATATCTTACTAAACGTTGACGCGATTTGAGTAGATAATAGTTATGGTATAAATAATTTACCACTTGAAACTTAATATGAATTTTCGATTATCTTTCTATTTTCAGAAGAAAATTTTATAAAATGAAAATGTGATCTTTTTTATATATAATAAAAATATAATTTTTATTATATATTATCAACTTTAAAATGAAAAAATTAAAACAATTTATATGATATGCTTTGTTGCTTTATTTATAGATATCAGTATAATATCTATAATTGAAATTATGAGCACATTTTTTATGATACTTCCTTGATGATTTAACATATTTAATTCATCTTTTTTACTTCTTGATGAATTTAATAACTTTTACAAACAGGTTATTTTGAATGAGTAACAAGACTGACTGTTTATAAAGAATATATAACAGAAATGTCTTACAAGATGACACCTTTCTGTTTATTTTGGATATCTTATACGATATAGACATTATATTTCAAGTTAGTAGCAAATCTATAGTATATTATAAGTTTAATATATTGTATAAATATATAACATATGATCACATGTAAATATATACAAATATACAATATATAATGAACATAAAAATTTCTTATAAAATTAGAAAACATATATAAGTTCATTTAAAAAGGTCATTTAACATTATATGAAGTATATAAACAATTCTTTTATAAGTAAAATACAATGATGTGAATTTTACTTTATACCTTTGCTAATAATATAATTAATATCAATGGAATACTTTCTATAAGATTTTCTCATTCAATTCCAACAAATAATGAACCACGTAGTACAGAATATATTACATATTCTTACTTCCTATCGGTATTATGTACTACCTATTGTATATGAATTTAAAAATCTAGAAGTGTACAATACCGGAAGATAAAAAAAATTGTAATTTGTTCTACTAAAAGTAAATTTAATCTCTTTCTTTTTTTAATATTCATAATTATTAATATTCAAGTTACATATAATACGAATTACAAATTATTATTCTTAATCGTAATTAAATTACTTTCGAATTATTTTGTTATCATATTGTCAATTTAAAATTAGTTAAAAAATATTTAATCCTTATAATTATTATATTATTAAATTATTTACCTTGGCAGGTTTATCCATGATACGATAAGTGAGCGAGTCGCGATGACCGGTTGCGATGACGGCGCCCGCCTTACGAGACACGCATTGCCCCATATAGATTCCCCAACCTTGTCCCAGCACAATCTGTATACAATCAAACAATCATTAAATCATATTATCTAAAATGATTGTAAATATTAACATATTCGAGACAGATATTTTAAAATAATTCGACTTCTCAACCCATTTTTTATTTTAATTTAATTTAAAATCAATCGATTTTTTTATATTTAAACTAAATTCTCAATATATAATAAAAGAGCAATTTTTGAATTGTAATTTTTAATTGGATATTACAATTTAATATTAATATCGAATGCGTTAAATTTTACGTATAATGAATAAATACATATTAATTTGATTCAAATAAATTGTGGAATTTTATTTTCACTTATTTTATTTGTTCTTTTATTTATTTTTATTTATTATTGACTGAATTGATGTTACAAAACGAAATATAAAAATATATTCTGGAAAAAGTAATATTTTCTCGCAAATATAAATTTGAATAAAATGTATAAATTATATACATAAAAATATAAAAAATGTATTGATGAGATACATGTACATGATAAAAATTAAAGAAATAAGTAAATATTTAATAAATTAAGTAAATGTGAATATCTTTTCTTCTCTCTCTCTTTCTCTGCATATGTATCATATGATATTATGTCATTATTTTACAATTTTTAATTTTAATGAATAAATAAAATTTTATAAATGAATGTAAAAAAGAATCAAGATAATATTTTCAATATTTCCTATTTTATAAAAATATATACATGTCACTTATAAATGACACTTTAAAAATCAATTGAAAATAATTTAATTGCAATGCAATAAAACGATTTAATGCAATTTAGTACCTCCATATATACAGTGAAAATATATTCCATTAAACATGAAAATTCTAATAATCTATAGTAAATTGAATTATATATTGATGAAAATTGCATTTCGATATAAATCAAAACTTCTATTAATTTACATTATAAGAGATAATCGCAAATAGTTAAAATTTATTATTATTTTAACTATTTTTTATCCATTATTTAATATTATATTTCCAAGATCAATGAATAAAACATAAAATTTATCATGAATAAATATTAAATAAAATTATATTAATATTAATTTTCTTTTGTAATAAATGTGGTCTATAATTATAATTAATTATTTCGCTTATTTGTTATTAAAAAACACGCAATTCAAAAACAACATAAATTCAATTATCTTTTTTTACCAATTAGATTAAAGATAACATTATTAATTGTAACAAATTATATATATCAGATTAAATAAAGCTATGTTATTATGTTATAAAAAGTTAATTTGTAGAAAAGAATGAAGAATTAATGTACACTTGTAATTTTAATTACAAATGAACTATTTAAATTTAAATTTAATACTTTCAATAAAAATAATATTTATATAAAAATTTTTTCTATCTTTTTCCATAATATTCGTTTAAATATGTCACGCTTTCCTTTTATACATTTTCGATAGGTTAATGGTTCACGACAGGTACTCTTGGTCAATTGAATAGTTTCATTGGTACAACCAGGAAGCTCTTAAATGATGATATTGTATATCCATCCATTTATTTATATGAGCCAAATGAACGTAATATTGTAAAATATCATCAATGCAAATAAAATTTCTAAAGTTAAAATATAAATTATCTTATAAGTTAGCGAATATAATCTATAAAAAAAATCTATGAATCTATAAATAATTTCAAAAACAAAAAAAATTATACACATGTTTTTTCTTTAGTATATAGATGATAATTTCTTTGAAAAATAATATTTATGAAAAAATTGAAATTTTACTTACTTGCATAAATAAATATTTTATAGAAAAACAATTCTATTTATAGAAAAACAAATTGCATTATCTATCTTATAATCATCTCTTTGCTTCCCGATAAGTTTCTTAATAGGTAAGTATAGATTAACGAGAATTATATTAACATAAAAATATTCGCAAATTTTATATATATCTGAGAAATGAGAAACTTAGCAAGGAATTTAACCTTAAATAAATCAAATCAATGGTGAAAGGTGACGGCGTGATTCCAAGATGTAGGGCGATAAATGGCACTGGCCCAATTCATTCGGAGCTGAACTCTGTTTGGAAAATTTTTATCAATTTTTTATATAGAAAAATATGGGAATATTTTTTAACTTTTAATCATTTCAAAAATTAGTTCATATTAATTCAAAATTTTTTAACCTCGTAAGAATATGAAAGATCTTCGTAAGTATAACAGTTGATTAAAATTATATTAAAAATTTTTAATTATGAACAATATATATATATATTTTCAAAAAAAATTNTAATGAATAAAAATGAATATATTACATACATATATATATATATATATATATATATATATATATATATATATA